AAATAGAAATGAAAAAGGATAAAATAAAGAAGCCTGCAGTCAAGATTTTTTCCTTTATCGTAGCTAGAGAAATGCTTTAAGTATCGCCGAATGAATGGAAATTAAAATAAGTTTGAAATAGCAAAAGATTCATCTTCAGCGAAAGGCTGATGCTAAAGAAGTGCAAAATTGTTACAGCAGTAAATTTCATTTCAAATCTTTCTTCAATCATTAATAAATGTTGAATGCTTCCGAAGTTCCGAAATCTCCGGTAGTATACCAACTTATTAATAAAAGAAGAAAATGCCCTTAGATTGAAAAAACTATTAATTAATCATTTTAAATTAAAAAGGGCATAAACAGATGTTCTCCGTGAACAATTAGTCGAGGATATTGAGGAATAATGTTAAAAAAAAAAAAACTATTCTACTAAAACTTCTTTGTATAGGATTTTCAGCATTTTACCCATTGAAGTCAATTCTGAAATTTTTATGAATAGAATTGTAGATATTGATGAATGGCACGATACTGATAAACCGCCAACACCCTTGATATATACTATACTCATTACATCCCTTTGTACCGGCTATTGCCAAAATCCTCATTTTCTGATCAGCTTCGATGAATGGCTCTTAGGTTCAGCAGGATAACCAATTTCGAAAGATGATATCGCTTTTATTAAGGACAGTAGAAAACCATTTTGAACCCATTAAAACCGAATGTTCTTTGAATACCATGGGTAACTTCAATGTTCGTGCCTTCTTTTAACAATTTTCTTTGTAGCGAAAAAAAAAAAAAAAAACAGCATATGTCATGTTAGCATCGTTTATATCCTGAAACATGATTCGAAAAATCTAACTGAATTATCGACCAAATGAGCAGTTGAATTATCGACAGTCAGTATATGATAAGACGTACAAGCTATTTGTGCACAAAACTTATATCTGCCACAACTACTCGATGAGTTCAAATTTGAATTTCACTTCCTACAAAAAAATTAATACAACAGTTTCGAATATTAAATCTAAACTTAAAAGCAGATCATTCGAGTTCATAAATGCTGGAGATATTTAAAAATTACAAGATGTTAGAAAATGATTATTTATAAACCTAAATTGACCCAAGCGATAAGTATATGAAATCAAAATTAATTTATTGAAGGATATTTTAATGAATATTTAAATATTCAGAATACCGTTACGAATGACTACCTCATACAACTAGCTGAATGGTGGTTGTACATGTAAATATGAACTGATACAGATCCGCGGGAGTACCTCACATGATGAATGAAAAATGAAAATTTTGGATTAAAGCCGTACTTCGAAATCTTGTTCTATCAAATTCATTAATTTGTTTTAGCTTCAGTAATCACCATAAAAAAAATAGAATGTTAAACATAATTTGACATACCGAATTTCATAAAAGTGAAATTCGATATAATAATTCAGTTAGTTAAAATCAAATCCTTTTTTGTTCTATATTTATGACAAATTTTCTGATGAACCAAAGCAAATAAACAAATTTTACTGATTAAAATCAGATGGAGCAAAAATAAAATCTAGAAAAATGAGATCCGAATTGAAATCCTTAGCAGCAGCACACACCGTCATTTGAAGATGAAACAGTTAACTCATCTTTTACAACCAGTCCTTTGCAGTGATCCTAAGCAATGAAGTGTCTCGTGATCTAATCAATTCGTTGAACAACATTTCAGCTTCAGTGAAAAGAGTGACATCAACAGTCAACATTCAACGGTTTACATTGAATATGATGCGACATTTGAGTGAATAATAAAAGCACTGCAGTGGCAGATATAAAAAACGATCACTCTTCATACTTCTTCTACAAAGCTTTTTTCTGCAATGATAATATTTGCTTACTTTCACCTTTTATGACTTCAAAAAATACCCAAGCATAAAAAGTTCCCAAAAAAGAAGATCAGATCAAACTAGATTGTGTTACACTAGTGTTTAAACATAATACAATGATCATAATTTTTTTTGCTTTAGAATAAGAGCGGGAATCTTCAAAAAGTACAACTAGTTTATATTGCAGTTTGTTTGTTCGTTACTTCCCTCATAAAGATTTTCCTTTGATCGGTATCCAACTGCAGAATTTATCAGTATCCATCCGCTAATGTATTGATTTGATGGATACAGACGTATATTTTACGTAGCACATAGTATAATTCATTCGTTTCACGTAACGTGTTTTCTTTCGATTGCATACTCTTTGCTCTCTTTATAGATGCTCCTTTGCCAATCAATGATAAAAATTTACGCTACCTATAAAATTGCAGTTCAATTTTAAAACAACTATGACTTACCATTCTCGCTCATAATCAAACTTTAGGCATTAATTATCTTTTCTTCCTTATCCACATGTCACAATGCTGAAACTATCATTTCTGAAACGTTTGGACACAGAATAGATTGCATTTTATTCCACCACTCTTTTCCTGACTCTTAAAATAGATGTTGTCATCTCTCCATCATCTATACTCTTCAGTTCATTTGAAATATAAACTGCTATTAAATAAAACGATTTAATCAGCTAAACATGAAACTTCAAGTCAGACGGAGTTCATTAAACAATTCCCCGTTTGTTCGACAGCATGATCGCTTACATAGCACTTCCACAGTTAACCTCTGAGTATGATCTCTGCCTCTCATTTTAACAAGGTAATTTCAATGGATCTTTAATTTTGTTTCTATTCAAGTGCGCTACTGTCACATTCTTAACCTCAAACAAATCATTGTTTCCTTTAATCCAATCAAACATCATTACCATTTTGCAGTACACTATTTTAACCATTTCACACCAAAAAACATTTGTACCTGCAATTGTTCCTTATCACCAAATCAGTAAAATAGTGCATAAGAATTTCTGATAAAAGAAGTGACGGTTGCACTTCATCTTTGCAGGCATATATGTCAAAAATGTGACTTTCGTCTTTAACCGACGAATTACCTCTTGCATAACGATTTCTGATAATCTAGATCGATCGGTTGGTGCATTTCCAAAGATTATGGAAATATTTACTAAGATGTAGTAATTTCCATTCGAAATTATGTTCCTTAATCTCTTTTTTTTTTTTTTTTTAATTTTGCGAAGTCTAATGTAATAAAAGCAATTTTATCATAAAAGCGACCTATTTCAATACTGATTTCAACAATGACAGCTTAAATTCTTGGTACTAATTCATTCAAGGAATTCAAAGGTTTATACAATACTACTTCATTCTTTTTACCCATTACTGCTGAAAATCTTATATAAAGAAGTTTTAGTAGAATATTTTTTAAACATTTTAATTGCAAACAACAGCAGAAGAGAATCTCAAATACAAAATGACGTCTGCAGGACGTACGTAACTCTACAGATTTCAAAAAAACTACGGATGTGAACCATTTGGATTGAAAATAATTTTTTTACAACTTGCATTTATGGGCCTATTCCGGAAGTATTTCCTACTACAATATGTAAAAATACCGAGGAGTGGATATAGTCAGACTGCATTAATGAGAGAAAACACTAAAACTCATCCTTCGTTATCCGATTATCAGATAAGCTTAGCAAAAATTTCTTTTTAGTAGAATGTAAAACCATTATTTTATTTTCTACAGAAAGGTTTCAGATTATCTCGCATTTTTTAAATGGGATAGTGGTTTTTTCCATATTTGCATTATACGGTCTTCAAGTTACTGGCAAAAGTAAAGTCACGATTACTTGAACTTAGCCAATATTTTTCTTCAACAACTTTCAGCACTACTTTTGTATTTGAATATCAGATCATTGAGCGTGGATGATAATGAACCCAACTTCGCGTAACAAAACATTTGATCATGTCAGCAGTAGCAAGTGACAACTGAGAGATGCCTCAAATGCAATGTTTGTTACAAAATAAAACCTAAGAATTTCGGTAATTCCATTATCTCAGTGCTTCCTGGATATTTTTGATTGCAAAGTGGCGAGGGACTTCATAATTTCATTTCGTCAAATTATTTTGAAAGCATGTTTCGGGGCAAAAAATTTCCACTGGTCAATTAACTTTATTTTAAAACTGGTTTGGAACAATTATTTTAAAATCATTTTGGAAAAAATTGTTGTTTTTTTACACTTTCCATGATGAAATAAGTTTAAAAAGTGCCAAGTATGATAGGAATGTCGGATGACATTTTACGAATATCTATTGCTAAATTCATTACTTAAAGTACATCAAAAAATTCCACTACTAATTCAAGACATTTCAAACTGCATATTCGAACATTTTTGATATTTGCTGCTCTAGGAAGAACATTTTTTGACATCATTTACGACTGTTTCTTTAAATAATTCTTTCAGTCACCTCACATATTCACTTCACCAAATTATCAGTTGAGTATATCAAAAGAAAAGAGCGTAGCGTATTGTATCGTCTTTTATAAATAATAAGGCAATAATTAAAAGTAATAGGGAGTGAAAATGGAGAGGGAAGAGGAAAGAGAAGGGGAGAATAATCCTAATTTGCCGGATTCTACTATCTGTATGCTGTATTATTATGATTTCTTATTAGAGTAACAATGAAAAAGTGACCAATTAACTGAGACAAAAGTGGATGAACCCTTCTCAACCGTGCTTAGACACAACTTTTCACCACAAAAAGATTACATATAACTAATATTTGAACGGAGCAATAATGCTGATAATGTCGGTGAAAAGAAGTTCAATCTGAGCACATAAAAGCAACATAACCTTCTTACATGCCTACAAATATTGATCGATTGCTGCGTGGACATCTAAACAATTACAATATAATTCCCATGTAATGTGAAATTAGGAAAACTTCAATTTTAAGGTTATAGCATAACAACATGGAGTTCGAGAGTGGAGATCATGAATGAGGTGATAAATGAAAGTATCAAGTAACAATTCCCTGATCCAAGATGTGTGAATAACGCCGTAAACAAAATTGCGCAATGCGAGCGCAAGCTTCACGGGTATCGTGCTCGCTGCAGGTGAGTACCAAACGAAACCAACCATCACAATGAAAAACGCAACCTGGAAGACAGATGATATTTTCTTCCACGAGTAAGTCTCGAATGAAAATTTCGTCTCTTCCATATATGTGCTCGTCAATGGCTACCATCATGTACATTGTCCCGTTAGGAGCGAGAGGTTGCAAACCCGGCACTTTTCTTAGGCACTCAAATACAATGCTTGCATTGCGGTGAATAGTGCGGTTCACCTGTCGAAAAAAATTAGCATTGGTTGAGTGCAAGATACGTGGCAATGCACCTTGAATTAGCACGCAAGGACCTACAATTTTTTGAGCTAATGCTATTAGTCCATTTCGAATAGGTTGCAGTGCTGCATACCGATCGTGGATGATAATCCATCCAAGTCGCCATCCTGGTAGAAGAAACCGTTTGGCAATACTATCACAAGTAAGTATCGGTACTTTCGGTTTCAGAGTTGCTATTGGATGAAATTCAGCTCCATTATAGGTCATCGTTCCATAAACTTCATCAGCAATTATAGGGATCCGTTTTTCAAAAGCGACTTGTAATATCGATTCCAGCTGATTTTTGCTTAAAACTATGCCGGTTGGGTTTGGAGGGTTATTGACGACTATGGCACGAGTTCTGTTATCAATCACAGATTTCAGTTGAGCCAGATCCAGTTGCGAGTCATTCATTATATCGAAGTAATAATAACGACTCTGAAATGTGAGCACCTTCAATCAAAGGATGATCTATTGTTTTATTTCATTCCTCACTTCAAGAAAAATTTAGTAAAAATTCTTCTAGTTAATTTTGTAGTCGTGTCGCGTCTTAAGCTTGAAACTTCCAAACAAACACACTTCAACATTTGAAGATTTAATAAGAGTTGAGTATAAGGGAAAGCCAGGTGCTGGTACAAGAATGTTGTCGCCTGGATTTGCCAGCGCTTCGATTGCCATTTCAATAGCATGTGAGCAACCACTGGTTAAAAGGACCGAATCCGCGGTAACTGGTGCTTCAGGATGTGTGAAGTGTCGGGCTATCGCCTCTCGAGCTTCCAGAATTCCTAAAAATGAAAAATAAATCCTAAATGACTTTGACAAAGTGTTGAAATTTTATTGGAAGAACGATAAAATAAGTAAAAGATATTAAGTTGCACTGCTTGGTCTTAAAAAAAAGAAAAAATCATCCTTTAAATTTTAAAAATAGATTTTCAAACAGTTTAAAAGAGCAAAATAATGGAATGATTTAGGCAATTTATCATGAATGATAATGGTAAATTACCAATGGCAGGTGCATAACCCTCGTATTTACGACTAGTTAATGCTTCACTTATGGCCTGAATCGCAGTTGAACATACAGGTAGTGCGCCAGAAATAGTCGGATCTCCAAGGTTTAATTTAAGTAATGGTTTTTTCGTATTGGATGACACCAATAGAGAGTCACAGATTTGCCGAATTGGATTTACCATATTTTTGGTCATTTCTGATACGGGTATTTCCCAGGTGTTGGCGCTGATAAATGTTTTCCCTTCATTCTGAAAGCTTTATTATCCGTTCGGATACACATGTTATTTGTTGTGAACAACGATAAGATGAAAAGTACTGGCAGTAGATGAAAATCATTTAGATGTCCCGAAGCTCAAGGATTTCGATTCAAACAGGTACTTTGAAAATTCAAAACAAAAGTTCATTGCTAATCCATAATTACAAAAATACCCTCCCTTATTGATTACAATCACTAACATTTCTATCATTCATCATATCAGCATTCTGCTCCATTTTCTTGCTGATGTGAACTGCTTGAATGAGACTATCACAGCTTGGCACCATTTACAGTCATTGCTAAAAAATAAATCGTGTAAAATTCGCAGATTAGCAAGCAGACTGTCCTCGTATTGCGGCGAACCCATACTTTGTGCTATTCTCTCATGCAACTTGCATATGAGTTGCGAGACCACTCCATTCTTGATCTAATTTGGTACAACTTGAAATTCATGTAAAATATTTCAGTTATTCCGTTGCATTTCAAAATGTAACTTTTGTTTGATTATTAATGTAATGAATCCGAAATCGATGTGGAGAGAAAGACTTTCATTGCATACATGATTAGTTTGTAAAAAAATTTATGGGAGATAATGATGCATACAGATATGATGAATATGCAGTTTGCAGGAAGCAATTAAATTTGCAATGCTAAGAGCTGGTGGTGATACAGCCCTCGCAGTGCATTATGTCGACTGTCACCATATTAAATGTTCGAGAGATGAGATGTCTCGGGATTTCTGAAACTATTGATATTTGACAGATGTAAAGCAGTAAAGTTAGGTACAAACGGAAGCAGAAGAGAGTGAAAATTTTTTAGGAAGCATGGGGCGGTGAAAATAGAAAAATGAAGGAGTAGTTATTAGGGAGTGCAGATAGGCGAAAGATCTTCGGAAAGGTAACCATGCAGTAAAAGGCAAACAGCAGCAATGAGACATCAATCTTGAATCAAAGGAATGATAAACACAGGTTAAGGGGGTACTGGGAAGAAGTGTAAACTGGTTCTGCTGCTTAAAAGAGCATCCATCAGATTGTTTGATATTTTCATTTTAATTTACAAAGCAATCAAATTTTACTTAGATAAAGAACTAGAATATTCCTAAGAATACAAGTGATGAATCACTCATTGTGTAAACTGCTGATAGTGACATAGTAGCAGATCAAATCAGTGAAAGTTGGAGTTGATTCGATGAGCATCACAAATCATCAAGACATCAAAGGAAGGGACGATAAAAGGGACAGAGGAAGAAGTTGCCGGAAGAGATAGGAAAGGCAATCGCCAAATTTATTGTATTAGCACTTGCACATTATTCATCATTTCCTCCATTTCTCTCTGTAAAAGTTTTTTCAAAGATTATATTACATTGTTTTACTTTGAAATTTTGGGTTTTTAAATCAAAATTATGTCAGAGAAGTTAACCTACAAACCAAGTGAAATGGCATTCGGATAAGTAGCATTTCACTCCAGTCATTTTCATTTCACTTCCAGATATAATCGTCATCGTTTGTGAAGTTTCTTTAAATGAATTTATCAGTCTCTTCTGTGTAATAGAGCACTCAAACAGCCAAACTTATCAATAAATCAACATATTTTTATTGTTTACAAAATATTCATTGATAATACAAGAAAATATAATTTAGGTAAACCACTACAACAATAAGGACATCTAGAGCATTTTAAATAGACGTATACATTATTATTATTATTATTCAGTGGAAACCTTTGCTTTTCATTACATCATGTAAATCTAGAAAAAAATATTGTACTACAAAAATCACAAAGCAAAGGTCTTCTAATACCCGCTTTATTGAAAAAACGAACAATCAACCAGTACGGAACCGAGATTTGCACATACAAAGTAAGACTTTTATAAGATATTACTAATGCATTCTTTTACAAATATATATCTTATTTAGCAAAAATATCCTTGCTATAATTTGTATTAAAATTTGATAAGTTGTAAGCGATAAAGTTTCAAAAAAGCAATATTCATATAAAAATCTTGTGAAATAGGTTCAAAATGACAAGTGGAAAATATAGTAATTATAAAAATTGATCTAAAATTTTCATCCAATAATACGCTGATATTGTTAAGAATCATTTCATACTTTCACAATAGACATAAACTAGATTAAAACTTTAAACTTATTTATTTGTTTCTTTTTGGGTACTTTTTTGTTTATGGTTACTCTGTCTCTGATTAATGTAAGCGTTATTTCATTTTACATCGAAAGCGTTTAACTAATCAAGTTAGCTTCAGCTCGTAAGAATTTACAGTAGAAGCAACAAACACCACAACATACAAAGTAATATTTCAACTTAAAATATACCGAATATGCAATTGAAGAAGTGAGACAAAGTGAAGATTGAAAAAAGTTTAAATTAATTAGATCAGATAGATTGACGTGACAAATTTGATTGTACTCTATTCCCATTGTTTCAACAGCGGCATTCTTCGTGGTAGGTTAAGTCTCCTTAATGTATACCTCTTCCATTATGTTAACTCCTTCCGCTAACCTTTCTCAGTTCTAATGCACTATAATTATTACCAAATCATCGAATATTTTAAATAATGGCTCAAGTTGAATTATACCTTAAAGCCGATATTTATGAACATTGGTCAACCATATCAAAACCTAACCCTCACTAATGGCATCCTATTCGCTTCTGCTGCATAGAATCCATGAAACTCACTAAATGTCATATTCCAGCAGTTTGCTTGCGATGTACGGTGTTCTGCTAAACAGTAGCTACTACAAACAGGAAAAGAGATCGGTGATCGACCACACAGACGAATAACCGCCATCTCTTTGCTTGCCCGTTTACAACTTCTTATTTGAGCAAAGAAAGATTGGTCAGGGTGCATCGCACTTTAAAGACCATACGTATCGGTAATATCAAACTACAGTAAAATTGGTTCCTCATCTCAGTATTGCTATCAGAATGTACCAAAGGCAAGTTAAAATAAAAAGCAAGCAAAAAAAAAGTATAATAACAGATTGCAATTAAACAACTCAGTCTAATTATACAAAATTACAGTGTAATATATGTGGTTCCTATAGAGTAGTGTAATGAAAAGAAATCGAGTATGATTCGCAAAAATAATCGTAAAAAAAAAAAAAAAAACTTCATGTAAAACGGGGTAAATTCAGCATTTTGTTATTTTATAAGTATTGAAAATGATGGAAAAAATATACGTCAACAAGTAATATCCTATGACGAAGAATCCCACTGTGAAAACAGCGGGAATAAAGTACAATCAAATTTATCACGTCAATCTATCTGATCTAATTAATTTAAATTCCTTTCTATTCTCAAATTTGTTCCATTGTTTTAGTTGTATGTTCAGTATACTTTAAGTTGAAATATTCACGGCCAACTTTAAGTGTTGTGATACTTTTTGTTACTTATGCTTGCACATTGTTAGCAGTTCAAGATAACTTGACATAAGTCACGTGTAATTTTGCATTAATTTATTTGTAAGAAAAAAAAAATACAAGATTATAATTAACTCTGAGAGACTATACGAACTACCAGTGTGTTTCGTTGGGTTTCTGACCCCTTATTGTTATTGTTTTTTCTGATCGCACGAATTTTGTTCAAATAGATTTAAAATAAAAAGCAGTTGCCACGAAAATTTATCTGAATTGAAGGACAATGTTTTCACAACGTCTTCGGATTAATTCATAACAGTAAATACAAGGGTTAATGTGAAATATGTTATAATGTGAACGTTCGTTTAAGATAACTAACTTCACAGATTAGATCAATCAAGTAAGCCTTGCTGTTGTTTGAAATGATGCTGCTGCAAATGGGTTCACTGCTCCAAATGGTGCAAAACCTATAAGCTTAGATAAGAGTTAAAATTAAAAGCTACTCCTGTAGATTTTAATAAGGTGTTTCAACTAATAAATATCGCATCCATTTTCTCAAGTCGTAAACCGCAACGAAATTTTGAATTTTATTAAAACAACGTGAATTTCAAAAAAAAAAAAGACAGGACAAAAAAGATAATCTCATTTTTTAAGTTGCAACTTTGCTGCGTTTCGAATCCATCTGGCCAAAAGTTTAGAAAACTCTCGTTTCTACTACAAAGTGTCTGTCATTAAAAGAAGTGTTTATTGAAACTAATAAAAATCCTGTGGGCCTTTTATTATAAACTCAAAGTAACTTAGTGGAACGTCTCTTATCAAAAGGATGAGTAAAGCATCGGATAGCTCATTTTGTTACTGACAAAAATAATAATTCAAAAGCAAAATAATTCAAAAATTAAAAAGTCTCACTAGTTGGAGCATTGAGAAATTGTGCAGCCGGTGAGGCACTAACAGATGCCGAATAAGTTCCCTGATACACTGCTGATGATAAGGAATGAGGTACCGTGCTACCACTATAGCTTGAAAGTGCCCGAGGTGATAGATTGTGAGATCGTGTATAGTCTGAAGTATCACAACAATCATCATTTCGACAAAGCACAGTAATTTTCTACAATGAAATAGTTTTTGCCGAAAAAAAAAAAAACAAGAAGGATAGTACTTTAAAAAGTTTGGATTTCACCTAAACATAGAATTCCGAAAGTTTGTTCTAGCCTAAGTGATAACTCTAAAGTTCAATGATCCCAATTTGATCTTGAGATGTTGCTCACCTCTTCCCTATCATTTTTATTACATATAGCAAATTTTGCATGAATTCGAATCATTTTGATAAAGGTACTTAATTCAATTTTTGCGTGCAATCCGTATCTTTAGAATATAAACAGAGCTAAATGTGCCGTATCCAGTGTCACGTGCTTTCTTTGCTGATGGCTCCGTGGGCCGAATAATTAGAGTCGTATTATGGAGCCATTCAAAAATGATCCACCAACCAAAACATTGTTTTCATTTGTTTGATTGATATAACAAAGTGAGCGGTAAGAAGAGAAGAAATAAAGAGAATCCCAATAGTCTTCACCCATTAGCTTAGGTTACAAGACTGGAATATTTTCTACATTTCTCTTCTCTGATCTGATTTCGGTTCCGATCTCTTGTTATATTGGCATTTTTCGCAGTTACACAAAAGAATGAATCAAAATTCTGCACTTAAAAGTTCTTAAAATCTTTATATCTTCTAGGGAAAGGTATATATTAACAATTCTCATGTCATCTTACTAATTGCATAAAGTTTGCTGGATTTAAAAAAACTTGCCATTGTTAGTGTCAAATTGAGCGGTATATGCGGAAGCATAATGAGACAATGGATCAACCGGGGTTCGTGGTGGTGGCAAAGTGAACTGTTGGCTAAAATTTATCAAATATTAACATCTGACAAATCGGAACTCAAATCATCATCATCTGAAAATGAAATGAATTAGGAAAAATAAAGGCGTAACCTGTTGTAAAGCGCTTCTGCTAACTCCGCAGCCCTTTTTAATATTAGCTCTTTGGGTAACCTTTCTGGATCACCTGGATATTTTGGCAGCAGTTTTTGTAGTCTTTGAAAACCAAAGTCTATACTCGGTTCCGAAAGTGCTAAAAGTTCTTCCTATACTAATGTTTTCTTTTAAATGTTAATTAAATAATTTAAATGTGTTTATAAATATATTACGTAGAATAAAATAGCTAAAAGATCATTTTTGTTAAATTGTCTTTTTTAACTTTTTGTTTTCGTGCTTAATGCTGAGAAAAGAATGAACTTACAAACATATACAAATCTTCCAGGATTCCCTTGATTAAGTTGCTTAGATTTGTAAGTTAATGTCACTTCAACAACACCAGGCATGTGACGAGGCGGTGTGGTCACACGCATCGCATGTGGTGTTATGATTTGCACCGACTGTAAGAAATTGCTGTATGTCGAAAGCAAAGGCAAATAATCTTTCACGAACAGAAATACTTTTAGTCCTATATTTGAGGAAAACATCTCAAGAAGTTGTTCATTTCTGTTACATTTGCATTTAAAGTCTAAGAATAATAACTTTGATAAATATGCAGTTCTTCTATGTAGGACCACCGCATAATATCGGATTGCAACATATATAAATTCTATGCATCAAATTATTTTGCTTGGACCATCATGACTAGCTGTCATTACGTTTATCGTTAATAGAATGATATGATTTTGAACTGAATTGTATGAATTGTATAGATGTATCTTTAAAAGATTCACAAGTCATCTAATTTTAAGAGTTTAAACAGACTTCACTGTGTTGCATGAATAAGATTTTAAACTATGAGTAATAGACGATAATGGAGAGTACATTCTCGATGTTCTATTTCTCCGTTTGACTACTTAGTCTTCAAGGCAAAATGAATTGAATATAAAAAGTGCTGTGTAATGAATATTCTTGCAAGCATTATTTGCTTATTCATTTAAAATTCAGGAAAAAGAAGATTCACAAACATCGCTCCAAACAGTAGTGGGACCGAATGCAACTTGCAGGCCGTCGAAGAAATTTTCGCCAATGATAATAATTGATGTTCCACCTTGAGTCCAGCCTTCACTGGGACATATTGCTTTAATTACTGGATTAGATGTTACCGCAACGTCTGAGGAATCAGATATATCTGTAAAGCAATTGCTGCATTGTATCACTTGATTGTAGTGAAGTTTGAAAACGTTTTTTTGTAGACTTTATAATATTTTGGGATCCTCCTCCCAAAAGCCAATTATTCTAATAGAATATGAATTGATACATAAAAATAGTTAATTTTCAATTTATGAAGACTTATAACTTTACTTCAATATTTATCTTGCTAAAGAAAATTTCAGAAGTCTCTCTAAACTGAATAGTTGTCGAATTTGGAAGTGACAGTTAAACCCATAATATTTAATTTCCAGAGAACTTCAATACTAAAGATGACGGCAATCCGTATAGAGTTTGTTAGACGATAACAAATTGAAAACTGATGACGACTACGGTAGCAGATTTTCATGAGAGTAACGAAAAGGAAATCAATAGAAATGAGCCATCCAACTGATAGGCTTTTTCTGGCACAGCATTAGTGATAACTTTAAAAATTAACAAAAAGTACATCTCGTTCTATCATAAGTTATGACCATAATACTTTACAATTTATGTTAATTTTTTTTAAAGGACTCACTGAGTCACAGATAGGTGGACTATAGCAGTGAGTATCGGTGAGATTTGATTTAGAAAGCATTTTGAATGAAACTGCTTTGGTCATAAAGCATAATTCACTTCACAGTGCCATCAATGCAATGCGAAACACATTGATAGAGATTTTCCACTTAGATAAAGTTCCCCTGGAAGCGAAATTTTATGCACATTTTATGGGTGAAACATCCATATCCTTGCCTAAATGAGGGCTGACAATCAATCCAATATCCGCATCCTCCTTCCCATAACACATACAAATATAACATTTCATGGTCGTCACATTTTTGGCAACAAAGCAGTATCGGGTGAACCCCAGATATGGATCACCCTTCACTTTCTTTAACTATTTCTTCTCATTTGCATATTTCAAACAGCCCAGCTTGGATGATTGAACTGTTCAATTTTCCATATATATAAATTTATATATTGTGGCCACATGTCTTTAATTTTTCTGGGAGACCGGCAGATAACTTCTACTTACTTGTACAGTCTATCTGCTTATCAGTTGTCCATAGCTCGTTCATTTTTTTTACCTACAGAGGAATTTCGACTTGATGACCTACATACGGTTCTAAGTTACATCGTTCTGATATATAAAAGCGTGACATTTAAAAAGTTATCATGAAACAGACAAGAAAGTTAGCTTTTAACTGTTAAAATGTTATTTCATCATTGAGACATCTGGAGATAGTATTTTCTCGTTGATGATTCTTTTTCAACTAACATCTTCACTTACCAATTCACCAATTTCTGCATGTGAGTCAGGCTAACATAGATGGTACTTGGAATGGTAAATGATAAATTAAATTTAAAGTCATAATAGGATAAATGAAGAAATGACAGCAGCTGTGGCCCCAAACAAAACATTTAAAAAAAGTAAGGGCTATCATTATAACAATATTAATGACTCCTCATTTGCGTGGCTTATATTTAACATTTGACAAACATTAAGTCGTTAAAACATTGCCCATGTTGAATGTTACTTTACAAGATTTATAGTTGATGAAATTAGATGAAATCAAGAGGAAACTGCAATGAAAATTTTGCGGAATGAATGGATGGTTCCTTCTCCTACTTCCAACAATAAATTAATGACGATAAATTCAAGCCATTATTATATTTTACAAGCAAATATCTGCAGTTTATTTATCATACTGATTCAATTAAGTTCAGTAACAAAACTTGAGAAGGATATTATTTGTAATGCTTCCAGATTACTGATAATCCAGAAGAGGTAATTACCTTAGAGTCAACATCCGAGCAGCAACACATCTCAACAGCATAATTATGTCCTTCCGAGCACTAATTAAATTTGGGTATGCCAGTGCGTCCTAGTGAGTTACACAAGCCTATCATCGATGAATACACTTCATATATTCTTTATTCCTCTTCATCCACCCTTAACTCTTCTCTTCTAATTACTTTATCATCTACTACTGCTTAGGATTAGATATGTCAAGTATCCAGTAACATTTCTTCTTCAAATTAGAGTTAAATTCATAAACTATCACAATAATGAATGAAGCACAATTTCAGAATTTCACTAAAGTTTGCAAAATTTTGCACAGGCCTTGAAATAACTTTGAAGATAATTAACCTTCAGATGGATCGACACGTTTCGCTCTCCTTCCGTGTTTTGAGTTATTGTGAACAAACATATTATCTGATATGGCTAACAAAGGACCATCTACGCGAGCAGATGTGCCTAGTACCACCTAGAAAAGGATGAAAGTTATTTTGAATTTTTGATAGATTTTTTATGAAATATGTTTTTAGCATGCAGAACAATCAAAAACCTGCCTGTCATATCAAAAACAAAAATTTTAAAACCCAGTCTCTTCCTAAACTTCAGAAAAGACTATTTCAAATTTCAATTCTCGAGTGAATGTCATTAGAGTTTTCAAATTTTTAAGCAAAATTGCGAATATCACTAGCAGATGCAAGAAGTGAAAAAATGATGATATGCACGGCTGGAAAGGGTGAGAGGTCATCTGCGAAGAAATTTGATTGATTGTTTCGTTTTAATGCGACAGTGCGCAAGCACATGCCGCTTACTCTAATTCAATGCACCAAGCAAACTAATCGTTCCATCTTTATGCAAATTATCGCTAATAAACCACCTGTTTTACTAGCTTACTTCGTTCCATGTTTCATATACTGGCACACAAACTTTACTTCCTATTATTTTATGTTTTAATTGAAAGGTATACGTACCTGGAACCTTCTCATATCACGAGGATTGCCAGCATTCTTTAAACAGTTCTGATTACATTTGAGAAAGAATTTTAGGAAAAATCTGAAAACTTTGAAATTGTTTGCTTCCCATGGTTCAAAACTCAAGTTCATCGTTACATAGTAAGCTTAAGGTAATATGCCGGCAGTGGTTTCTATCTCGAAATATTACTCAGTTATTTTGAACAATATTTTTTGATAGGAACTACTGCTCGCAAAATTGATTTTCTGAAACTGAAGATTATTTCTGTGAATAATTCATGTTCTTTATAATTATAGTAAACTAATCTCACCTATAATTGAGAACTATTTAAAATTGAAATAAAATTTTTGTCATATCATTTCAACCAAATTTATTTGCTGGCTGACCTAATTTAACTTTTTCGTGCAGAATTAAGGTGCAAACTGCGGTACAGATTACATTACAATCAGTTTGTTTTTTGCATGATTAATAGTACTACTAGCAAATAATTGTGCAAAATCGGTTCTTCAAAAATCTTAGAATCTTGTTGAGTGGTGGAAAAGATTAAACAAATAATATTGAGGATTTATTTGGCATCATATTAGGCCACATTTCTATTTGCCTCACTCAAACCCATAAATGCCCACCCCAGGATGGCAAAATCTAATTTAGCTCAGTGGGCTTTTCTCCTGGTCAACGAGCACTGATATACTTTTATGTTACCAAACCGTGGTCATAAAAGCTAGAATTTTTATCTCCATTTATAGCATTTCGACAGCCTTAAATTCTTAAATTTTGTTCAACAAATGTAAAAAAAATTCCATCAAGTGTCAAACTCAATGTATATGTCAATTAACACGGTTATTTTAATTGGTATTTGATCCTTTTCAAAAGTGACTCAAGCAAAATGAACATCAGAATGAAGCGAAATAATGATAACCTAATTAATTGATCACTTACCACTAGATAAAGTCATTTGAAGTGAAAGTATCCTGCGAATGAAAACAAAGTGGAGGAGAGCTACAGTAAGATTGGATGGATAATGGTCTAGCAAATGCATCAATTAATTACTATTTGAGGTGTTGTATTAAATACAAGCAAATTACATACCTGTCAATAATGACCGGATCAGAGGGTGTCTCATTACGATTACCACAACTTTTCTTCTCACAGCAGCGGCTTAAAATATTAAACATTTCATTTACATTTCATAGACCCGAATTATCGGTTATGATAGCAGAAATTAATATGATAAAAAAGTACCTGCACATTACTTCATGAGTTAGCAATACTCGACACATTTCAGGATTCTTATCTTGTCCCTCGTAAGCTATGGCCTATAAATGAGCAAGAACAAAGAGGGGAAATATGAAATGTGGTTCTATTATGATGAAATAAACAAGTTTTGATGTGGGCAATGGACAGTGAGCAGTATTGTTGCTAAAACCAAATACTGCTAAAAGCATATGAAAATGCAAATCATATCGTGTGTGTAGTTTACAAATTACCGATGTAGAATCTAAGAAAATTATGGAATTTAATCTACCAAAGTAACGTTTCATCTAAATCGACATATTAAAAACTTAGATAAAATGATAGAGAGAAAGATTTTGTACAATAATCGAAATGATTAAACACTACTTCAATATAGAATGCAGATCTTGACTTCTACTTTCGATCTTTTTCTTCATTTCAATTAGGTAAATCAGTAAAATATCTCGCGAATCAAAAAATTTTGAGGTTTTGAGCTTGAATAACCTGTTTGTTAATTGACTGATCAAGCCACAATGCCATCATAAGAGAAAGAGTGGTTTTGCTCAAAATTACTTATCAATTACGAAAGTAGCAACTTGTTAAAATGCAATGGATAAATGACAAAACACTGGAAATTATTTTGCAGTTACAGTTAGTGACACATGTCACTTTTTTTACCACTGAAAAGCCACGCAACAGTAATTAAATTGTTTTTGTCTTGTCAAAAAGGATTGGGTCGCTGCACCACCTGTTAACATATGCTTCCCACACATATATGAACATGGTATTGCGGTTGCTTTAAAATGTAAATGCATGGAGCCTTGAAATTCCTTTGAAATTTGAATTTGCAATTTTAAATCAATACAGTTCATACCTGCTTGGAAACGCTGTCGACGAGACGAACGTACAGATCTTGCTCTGTGCGTAATCCTAAAAATGTCTGATAGTTTGATACGAAATTACAATCAGTGTGGAAATTTGCATAGTTACAAGTCGGGAAGAAATTAAGTGCTTGAGTGAACTGCTTGTTAATCGACTGACCGTTAGCATAAGCAAGCCACAACCGGTAATGGATACCATTGCGAGTATCTTGCCCGTCCACTTCACGCTCCTTCTCTACAAAATCTGCAAACTGCGTTCTCTCGATTTCTACCGGTTGTCCTGCCCGATCATACAATGCTATGACAAAGTGAAAGAAATTGCTTTTGCGCAAATTATTGGGTGGATGCTTCTCGAAATGAGCTCGTGCTAATTGGGCACTGAAACGTAATGCTTTATTAAACCTGCATGTGAATATAAGTAAAGCTATTCTATTTTTGGATTTTTCTATTTCAGAAAAGTTCCAAAATCGCTTCGATATTTAGAATAGTGCTGTCATTGTGATAGTCAAATAATCAATGAAACCTGCATACATGACATTCACTAACCGCTCATCATTTAATGGTGAAACGAAGTACAGGAATCGGAAGAGTAAGGGTTTATATATTCGACAACCACAGCGTGGGATCAAGAAGTTCAGCATGAATAAAATGGTGGGGTGTGGGAGGTGTAATAGGCGGAGGAAGAAAGAAATACTCGTAAATACGAGTCCCGCCGGTATTGCAATGTTGCAGTTTTTGGGATATGTGAATACAGAAAAGGGAAGAAAAGACAAGGAAAGGAAACAGATAAGAGAATTCCAGGTTTCAAACCAATCTACTGGAAATAATCGTATTGAAGCAATAGTACGGGGTAGAAATCCAACGGGGAATTATTGTCAGGACAAGAAATTAAAATTAGTTGTGGAGGAAGATATGTTTTGTTGTGGAAGAGAGTTAATGGCGGCACGGAGGTCCCTTCACAGGGACACTGGGACTGCGTTGATTGTTGCAAGTGGCATCATTCACCCTCAATTATCCACCAAGCTCAGTTCTAGTTTTAAAGCTTGATATGCGTAGGTATACACACGCACGCCTATTGATATGACCGCTCACCTTACCGGCGAACTGTCCACCACCGTGGCTGCTGCGGCTGCTGCTGCTGCTGCCGGATTCCATTGGGTACGCAATGCAGCTCCAAGCGGTTCGTCTTTCATCTGTCTTAGTAAAGTTGCATCTTGGAAACCAAACATCATACTGGCATTGGATATAGAACATTTACTGCCCTGTTGAAATTCTTTCCTGTTAACGGTACCGATTTGACGTTACTGCTGCCTGTTATTTGGAAAACGTGAAAAGCCACTTAAACATTCAACCAGAAAAACTCCTCTCTCTATTGCTTGATTCTTGGATATTCTATGCATATATTTAGTCTAAGTCTGTCTGTGTGTGTATGTGTAATATGCGTGTGTGTGTGCGCGCATATGTATCTGCCAGGCCCATTTGTTTCTATCTATTGGTTAATGTTGACAAAAAAAACCACGCCTCTCGGGATCAACTAATTCGTCAATTTTATCCAAATTTTGCGCAAGAAGGAAACTGATGCTAGAGAATTGTAATAGAAAGTACAGAACTGCTGAATAACACCGGCCCGTGTTGTGCTGCTGGGAGAGGCCTCGAATCACTGGGGAAATCAAAAGCTGATATGAAATCAGGGCCTTCGGATTCCAAGCTAACACTCCCCAAGATGCCCCACCTCTCGCCACCACCAATCCACAACGCTCTGCTCCTGCATTTCACGCCCTATGGCATCCGCATACCGTAATAGTATCAGTATTGCAACGCTTCTCATCCATCTCTGTCCTGCTGAACCGAACTGACCATTTTGAACCGATCCGAATTCACCACCTCTCAGTCCTCCTCATCCTTTCCGTTACTCCCTCCTTCTTCATCCACACCCCACTTATCGTTCCACTTATTGTTTACCACTAAACTGTTGCAATAAAGAGTGTAACTAATGACATTCTATGCTACTATTTATATGCTTACTTATCTATCTCTCAGCCGGTTCCGCAAAGCAACAAATAAAAATGGAAGACGGATTGTTCAGTCAAATTTGAATTGCTTCCACTCTAACATTACTTGAAGGACTTTTATATGCTTTAGCATAAAATGCAAATTTCTTTAAGGACACAACTTTTCTTCATCTCTTTTAAATTGCTCATTAATGTTCCAAATTTTGTTTGTTAAATAATTAATAGTTATGTTGCACTTATCTGGATCATGCACACTTCACTATGTCGGATGATGATTTTTATTTATTACTTTTTTTTTGCCGTATAATAAACATCTTGTTTCATGCCGATTTTTTTCTTCTAGGCTAAGGGTTAATTCTGAAAATATAAAATATAAGTGCTAGAAAGTTAGAGATCCAGTTCTAACAAAACGATCTTACGCAACTTTCCCTTCAGTAAAATTTCCATTTTTAGAACTGATAAAATAATTTACCTTCTTGAGGCAAATTTGATACTAACAGAGTATGCGTAAAAGTGTGAAAATGCTACAGCCCTATCAAATATCTTCATTGCTTACTGTTCAGCATTCTCCGTCTTTTTCTGCTTCTTGTTTTGAGCAGTAATAAATCGCTTTACATGGTTATAAATTTTCTCAGAGCTATTGTTTTATTCATAGCAGCGAAAGTGTATGTGAAATACAATAATATTCACCAGTTGTGTATCTAAATAGACAGTCAAAACAAGAAAGATATTCTGAGTATTTTACGATTCAAAAAACCTTCACTTAGAGTTTGAATCAAAAATTGGGCTTAACTTTACTATCAGAAGAAATTGATCGTAAAATTTCTCAAAATCTTATATTGTGTCCTACATGTATTTACATGAAGCACTCGGCTTTTAATTTGAAATATCAAGTGCTATTTGATACTGGAATAACCAAATTAGCACAATAATGACAAGAACAAGTAATGGTGAGTAGAAATTATCATAAATGAAGGTTGATAAGATAGTAATGTTTAGAAGCTATGTTAAAAAAAGAATAGCTTAGGGGTGAAACAGAAGAAATGCAACCAATAACTCATATGGGAATTGAGTCTATCGAACTTGCTATCCACTGACACTTGACAAAGT